AGAAGGTTAATCTCATATTTACACATTTAACTGACTTAGAGTATCTTCAATGGATAGGTGAATTGCACCAAAAGTGTGGTACATCACCCATAATGTTTACATGACAAGGAAAAAAGTAAAGGTCATAGTTATTAACCCTGACTCAATCGTTGATCCTAACAAATTATCGGAGCATCGAGTCGGTGGTTCAATCAATGAATCATTGCTAAAATGTAATTTTAATTAAAAAAATTTGAACAAAAGGACAATGATTAAAATTAGATTTTTAGTAGATTTTGATAAAAGCTGATAAAATATATGGTTAAAAAGTTATGAAACCCATGAAATATATGTTTAATATTAATTGTTTGACTTTAACTTAAATTAAAATCAGATTTTAATCAAATAAGGGCATATAGTGGTTAAGGTGGTGATGTTTTATAGTAGAAGCAAGCATTCGCACCTCTACTAATGCAAATGGAGTATGAGGTTTTTGCTTTGGACAAATTTAATAATCAATCGGTTGACATTGAATCGGTTTCGATTTCTCTTAAATCGTTTGACTCGGTTGGTTATTGACTAGTCAAATCGATTCATTTGTTGAATAGAATAACTAATGCACTCGGATTGGACCATTATTCAATTCATAGATTCTCATGTAGGACTAATCGACACAATCTGTATTTAATAATGGGGTATAGTAAAAATCCTTCACTTTTTTTTTCTACAATTTATCTTTATGAGATTATGTGTACAGTTAATTTTAAGTAATGTTATTCATGATAGTTCACTACGATAATCGTCCTACGTGACTTACATATGATGGGTGGTTATTTGATAAATTAATGTCGTAGTTTTTTATTAACTCATGTATCAAATAACTACCTATGATGTGTGTGTCACGTAGGACGGTTGTCATGGTGAATTACTACGAATAACATCATTCTTCAAAATTTATCTTTACCTTTTTCTCTACATTGTCTCTCCTATGCATGTGTCACACAATTAGTGCAATCCACACTCATATTGGATGTGCTCTTCTCTATACTCTCATTTTACTTGCCACATGTACATCAATTCACATTGTTTCATTGGAGATGCTCGTATCATTTCACCTCGAATAATGCTAGATACAAAGCGAGGACCATCCCTCTAGTAACATTACATGTGATGTTGGAAGAATTGACAATACCAATTAAATGTGTGAATACAAGACCTAATTTATTTTTCTTATTATTTAATATCACGTTACATGTGAATTATCCCAATTTATATATATAACATTAATCTTTCACCTCACATCACTGCCACAACATGGGAATCGTCCCCACTTTAATTTTAGTCTTAGCAACTTAATACATATGGTTGAAAAATTTAACCCTAAATTGCATAATGGACCAAACTTATCCATTTTGACTAGGCGGCAGTCGTACTTCGTAGACATACCAGCTAAGTACAAAATTAACATAACATTAATTTGCACATAAATTGCAAGGTCGGTGTAGGCCATTTAGCTTCTTCAAAAAAAAAAAAAAAAAAAAAAAAAAAAAAAAAAAGGTTAAACCCCAACCTTAAGTGTCTCTTTTGTCCCGCTCCTAGAATTTTGTGAGGGACCAGCTAAGTACAAAATTAACATAACATTAATTTGCACATAAATTGCAAGGTCGGTGTAGGCCATTTAGATTCTTAAAAAAAAAGAAAAAAAAAGGTTGAACCCCAATCTTAAGTGTCTCTTTTGTCCCGCTCCTAGAGTTTTGTGAGGGAAGTAAATCGCGAGATGTATCCCAACAGGCCAGGGAACAAGAACTGCTTATACACTGCGCCTACAAGGAGTCAAATTCCATATCTCAAGAATCGAACCACCACTCTGTGACTGCCAGTAAGTCGTGAGATAACCTCACTCTTGTCCTTTGTACCACTGGACTATGTCTCAGGGGCGCCATTTAGCTTCTTTTATTTGGGGGCTGGAAGACCATTGCTTTAAATTAAAAGCATTTTAGTTTATATTTCATGTCAATTACTACTTTTTTTAGTTCAATGAACCTAAAATCATGACATATATAGTGTCATTTCATGTAACGATATTTAGATCTCTTTTAAAGTAACATTAAGATCGAGATATGATAGTACTTGAAATAATTTTCATGTATAGGGACTCAACCTACTGTTAAATCTTGTTAGGTCACTCGACTTCGTTTACTACACTCATAAGTTTATCTTGTAGATCACCCTTTTTAGTTCTGCTAGAAAAATTAACGTTAAAATCTTATGTGGCTAACACGTAAAAATTTTTCTCTAGGAGAACATTTGAAGGGTACGACTTTTAAAAGTATAGTGCTAAAATCGAACTAGAGTTTTCTCTGTTCAATAAAAGAAGATTTTCCATGCTTAGCTAAAAAAACATATCAAAATTATTTTCAAGAATACAATAAGTATTTATAGGCGGCGATTGAACTCTCACAATATTCTGAATTGATACGAGCAAAAATTGAGCTCATGTATTGAGCCTCATTCTACAAAAATTCAATTTTTCATAAACTCGTTTTTAACGACATATTACACAGAATAAAAATATTTGTATATGTAAATTCAAAAATTTTCAATATTTTTCAACAACTTATTTTTCAAAAAATCACTATTACAAAACCTTCTCTCAAATAATGGAGCGCAAACACACCCTAAATGTTAAGAACATGCAATACACAATTTATAAGAAAAGAAACTCAATTAACTTAAGTAATAAAAACGAAATTTTAAAAGGTTCAAATTTCCTCCTCGATAGGCAATGATGAAAATAAAAAATAATAACCTCCACAATTTCAGAATATATTTTTGGATTTTTTTAAGTGTACAATTCACACAACCCCCTCACATGAAGAGGCTCCACGATCAGAGAACTGTTATGCTTGGTGTACAAAGTGGCTCTATATTTTTATCCGTGAAATAAGGCCAGAAATGCTACGGATAGTACGGAATAGCGCAAGTTAGCACAGCAAACGGTTCCATATCTAGACAACACGAGGGGTGGAACATTGCAATTTTGAACATGCTAACAGGCCCCGACCCGACTCTTTAGGTTAACAGTGTCGACGTGCCCCAGAATAAACGGGTTGATTGCAAAATGGCGAAGAAATACACCTCCACGTTTCAGTCAGTTTGACATCCAACTTATCGCTTAAATATCGTACAATTGTTGATCTTCCCTCGAAATGACTAGATCTTTTGGCAAGTTTTCGTGAGTTAAAATGCCAGTAAAATTAGAAATGACAGTACACGCGGAAAAATTAATTTCACCGCGTTGTTGACGCAGTACAAGACAGTGAGTCACGGGAAATTCATGGCTGATTTTCCTCAAATTTAATTATGTGGGTCGTCATAGATAGATGTCGGGTGGAAACTACGAGAGAGTAATGTGCAATATGATAAATAAGTTTTCAAAAATTTTTTTTTTTTTTTTTTTATATTCAAGTATTCCATCTTACACCAAACTAAATCCTGGACCTCCAAGACCCTTGTCCCTAGAACCTTGGAGGGGGTAAATCGCGGGTTATGCCTCAACTGGATCATAGATTCCCCCATTGCCTGTACACTTCTACGTACAAGAGACCCTCCTCCACAGTAATTGCTCCATACCAAATTTTTTACCGCAGATTCCCACCAAGAAATCTTTTTATCTTTTGTATACTATTTTACAGTGTCTAGTCAAACTCATCAAACAAAATATATAGTTATTCTTTTTTAATATTGTACTTACCAATGAAATATACTTTCAAGGCTATTATTCTACGAGTATATTTAGAAACAAGATGAGGTAGAGCTCGATCATTCAAATTGAAATAAGCAGATGATTTTACTTTAATATTTAAAGCATGTAAAAGCGGCTTGAAGAGAGGAATATGATATAAAAATAGGTAAATAATCAAACTTAGTGCCTGTTTGTTTCCCATTTTTCTGCGTAAAAAGTCTTTTTTACCGTTGGAAGCCTGCAAGTCACCTACAATGTGAGAGACCAGCCAAAAAAAAGAAAAGGCCAGGTGGGGCACATCAACATTCTAATTTCTTCTAAAAATGAGAAATAAATAGCAAACAAATAGATGCTTAGATAATAGACACTTGTATTTCTAAGAGATAAAAAGTGACATTTTATTGAATAATGCTTTTTAGTATCATTGTGCAAGTGACGTTAAATGATAAATTTAATAAAACATTGAATTAAGTGATTCATTTAAGAGTAATCTTATTTAATCTAACTAGAATTATAACTCAAATCTATGTGACGTTAATGTGACATTAAATAATACGTGGAATTAAATGGATAATTTTATTTAGTATATCACCCACCATCACATCAACCGAGGTTATATTTCAATGGGACTAAATAGCATTATTTATCATTTAATTATAAATATCATTTAGCTCATGTTTGTTTTGATTAAAATTTAATTTTAATTTAAATCAAAGTCAAACAATCAATATTAACTATATTTTTTATAGGTTCCACCACTTTTCAATCGCACATTTCAAAAATTTATATCACAATTTACTAAAAAAATCTAATTTTAATCCTTACTAAACATCCTCTTAATACTAGATTTGTGTTACCTAAACTGGTATATTAATATTAGTGGTATTAAATAATATTAGTCAATACTTGTTCCATTTCAATCATTCTCAACAAAAACGATACAAAAAGCAAATTTATTAAATGCATTCACATCTTTACTGCAAAAATTTAAATCTTTCTGCAAGTTTAACTCCCGAAAAGGACAAAACCCTAACTTCATGGAATAAATACTTGAACAAGAAATAAAGCTACACCTTACCGACCCCAAGATTAATCCAAAAAAATAAAAGAAAATAAAGCTACAGAGACTTTCCTTTACTTGGAGACAATCCAAACAAGTCCTTATTTAGCGGCCCCACAAGGGCCCGTACTGCCCAGTCAAAATTGAGCCTTTAAAGCCTGTGAGAATTTGAAGTAAATGCAAAGGTAAGGTTAGCCTAAAGATATTTAACCTAACCATGGTTAAGTTAAATTCTAACCATGGTTAATAAAGCAGTTTATAAGGGCTCCTCCTCTACCAGTTCAGGGTGAAGACCATGAGGTCCATGACTGTGGCTATAAGGTGAAAAATCTTCTGGTGATGATGATGATCGGTGATACCACGAAATCGAATCCCACCATCCAAATTCCGGCGTGGGATTACCATTTTCTTGATGATCCAATGGCCCACATTCATTCCACCGGCCCTGATGTTTCTTATTATGAGAGCGCTTTATCGGCGCTGCAGAGGTTTTTACCAGGGAGAAAGGACGACGACGTTTTGCAAGGAGAAAATGGTGGGTCTGATGATTTTGATATTCCGGTTGATGCATTTTCGTGTGATGATTTCAGGATGTTTGATTTCAAGGTGAAGAAATGCACACGAGCCAGGTCACATGACTGGACAGAGTGCCCATTTGCACATCCCGGTGAGAAGGCCCGCCGGAGGGATCCCCGGAAGTACCATTATTCCGGCACTGCGTGCCCGGATTTCAGGAAGGGTGTGTGTGGAAAGGGGGACTCTTGTGAGTATGCGCATGGTGTATTTGAGTGCTGGCTTCACCCGGCTCGCTACCGTACGCAGCCATGCAAGGATGGGACCAACTGCCGCCGGCGGGTTTGTTTCTTTGCTCATACCCCGGGACAGCTTCGGTTGCTTACTCCTGAAGGGTCTCCGCGTCATCTCGGATGTGATTCGTCGGTTCGACTTGGACAGGACCCTTTTATGAATGCGGGTGTTTATGGTCTGTACTCACCTCCGTCTTCTCCGACGACTGGGTCACCTCCGGTGTCGCCGAGTCGAAACTCGGTTTTTGGGCTGGTTGAGTCGATGCGAGGACTGCAGATTAACAAGGCTAGGATGGGCATGAGCCCAAGTCTGAGCATGAGCCCACCTTCATGGGGTCTCAAAATGGGTTCCGTGTTCGGATCTCCTCGTAGCCCATCAACTCTCCGACCCTTATTCACGAGCCTCCCTACAACTCCGATCCGGGCCCCAACTCGTTCCGGACTCACCGCATTCGACATTTGGGAAACATGTTCCGAAGAGGAGCCAGTGATGGAGAGAGTCGAATCCGGAAGAAAGCTGCGTGAGAAAATCTATGAAAAACTGAGCAAGGAAAACTCGCTGGACCGAGTGGAGTCGGGCATCCCGGGTTCCTACTTCGGTTGGGTTTCTGAACTATTGCAGTGAATCGGGTTGGTGGATGATGTTTTGCCTTGGGTGAATGCATTACATTTCGTTGCTGAATGCTTAGATTCCATTGAAGTTGACTGACTGTTCTGTGAATATTATGTTAATTAAATGAGATGGAAGGGAAGGGAGATTAAAGTGATCAATCTCTATTTTGTTGTGCTTATTTTGGGGACAAAAATGTAAATATGAAATCTAGGAAGGGTGCTTCTGGATTCTGATTTGCAAAATCTCAAGTAAATATTTTCATGTTCAATTTGTAATTTTAAGGTTGTTTTTCTAATAATCCATATCATCTTATATCATGATTCTTACTTTATATTATCATCATCTTGATAAATAGTAAAAAGTTAGGTTTTGTTTGATCATTCTTACATGCCAGTAGATAAATGCTATTCTAAATGAAGGCTGTCCTAGGTTATAATTTATCAACTCATTTTAAATTTAGGTGAATTGATAGGTTCTCCTATATTATAATAAGTGAGTGGATTTATAAGCAACAAAGTAGGTGGTGGAATGCTAGATCCGTAACGTAGTCTAGTTGACAAAAATCTTACAGATAAGTAAATTTTTATGCGGATGGCTTTTTGAAACTTATTGAGAATGAAAAATACAGATTGATTGTTGTATTCGTATGTATCAAGAATGTGTTACTGGAAAATGTTTGCTGCACATCATCTTTTTAATTTTTTTTTTTCGCAAGTTGATGATGGGAAATGTTACATGTACAATTTTATTATAATAAGTGAGTGGATTTATAAGCAACAAAGTAGGTGGTGGAATGCTAGATCCGTAACGTAGTCTAGTTGACAAAAATCGTACAGATAAGTAAATTTTTATGCGGATGGCTTTTTGAAACTTATTGAGAATGAAAAATACAGATTGATTGTTGTATTCGTATGTATCAAGAATGTGTTACTGGAAAATGTTTGCTGCACATCATCTTTTTAATTTTTTTTTTTTTCGCAAGTTGATGATGGGAAATGTTACATGTACAATTAGTGTTGTCACAATAACACACATGGGAGGGGACCATGAATTTTTATCACCCCTTCTTATGTGTGGTTATCATTCAAGATTGTCAATTTCGATTGTACAACTAGCAAAATTCATTGATGATATGGCAAGAAGCAAGTGGAGGATTTTTCCTTTTTAATTATTTGATGAAAAATGCTACTCAGCCAGGTGCAAAATCAGGCTAAAAAACAGGAAGTTGAGGTGGCAAAATCTCGGTCCTTAGATCTGAAAAAAAAAAAAAAAAAGTGAAATCAGGGGCTGAGGTGCCACCTTAGCCCCTGTTTTTGAGCCTGTTACTCAGCCTGGCTCAGTAGCAGGGCTGTTATTTGATTGGTAAAATTTTGACTCAATCAAATTTCGTCATATCGTCTGTTGTTAAATAAATTTGTAAATTATGATATACACGTAGTACAATTGTGTACACATATTGAAAACGAGTACATTTTTAATGAAACTATACCAAAGAGATCTTGACCTGATCGTCTTAGAGAAGAGCATATATAATGGTGGGCTTTTAGTCAAAGATGGGATCATGTTGACAAGATTAGTTGCTTGATGTGGAATTTGAAACGATAAGCATGTCCTTATCAATCTTATCCTCACTTTAATAATTAGCACTTGCATTTTGTTAATCGATCACATGTATCATTCAATTTATACTTTTGAAAAGAAATCTTATAGTGAATGAATCTTGAGGTTCACGGAGTTCTTGAGCTATGTTTGGTAGAAGCTGCAAGAGTTATGTATAATTCTAGTATGACAATGTGCTACGTGGAATACACGACATTTTTAACAGTTTTTTCTAAAGATTTCTTCAAAAAAGCCAATGAAAATTGAAGGGCATAAATGGTCATCTTTTTAATCCAAAAATAGGTGACAAAGTTTAGCTGTTAGGAAGTGAGAGGTGTACTAAAAGAACAAGCAACCAAATGTTGGTAGTGATTGGAATAGTAAAACGGAGTAGACAAGATCATTGATTCTAGTGTCGCTTGCTTTTCTTAGGTCCCCGACAAAGAAAGTGCCAAAAAATTGCATAACCCAACCTCAAAAGCTGAGAGATTTTTAACTTTGAATTCATTCTGTCTGTCTAGTGGGATTTGGTAAAGTCTCGAAAACTAGGACTCATCTTTTACTGTGTCATCCTGCATGGTGGTGAATGGGACCAGATACAATGAACAAAATTTTCACTTCTTGGAGAGGACGGATCCAGATTTGAATTTAAAATCGGCCTAATACATGAAAAAAAATCTTACTCATTAAAAATCTATTTTTACAATAAAAATAAAGAAAATTACCCTAAAAAAAATTTCAATTGGACCTTAGGGGGACACTACAGCCTAGCCAGTCCCGCCCCTAAATCAATCCCTGCTTCTTGGTCTTTAATATTGTCGGATATGGTCAATGTTCGTAGGTCCCGACCTTTTCAAATCCCGAGGATTCGAAAGGACCTTATTCACGATTCCATTCCCATCATGCTTGGGATTACGTTACCCTCGATTACAACATATGCTCGAGCACTAGATATTGCTTGGTTACGACGTTTTATGACTACCATCCTCGGGAGTCCTCGTGCCCTTCCCTAGGAGGACTCTTATCTCAAATATGTTACCATCAAGTTATGCTTAGCCTACAATTATAGTACAGGTTCAACACCCCTCTCAAGTAGGATTTTTTAAGAATAGGATATTCAAATAATTTAGTCTTACTAGAAGTGTACTACCTACCTCTATAAATTTAGAGCTTCAATTCATTATTTAGGTACATTTTTACATAATTTTTAGTTCATAGCTTCATGCACAAATTCTCTCTCTAACTTAAGTATCGTAGGGGTGATAAGGACATACCCCCTTGCTTTTGTTTCGGGTACCAAAAGATCTCGTTCGTACTCATCCTCAGTCATCAAGCTTGAAAATCAACAGGTACGACTTTTGATAACATCATTGATGCCGACTGTGGAAATACGTACCAAAAGCTATGGTTAGCACACGTTCAAGTCTTCCTCCAACAAGCTCATCCGTTCCAAACCCTCATTCTCCTCCTGAAGATCGCCCTGTTCCTCAAGAAGAATCATCAGAAATACTAACGCTCCAACCAGTAGTTGTTATTGTTGGAGCTTTTGAAAAGCTCCGTCAACAAGTTGACAAGCTAACTCAATTGCTAAGTCAAAGGAATTTACATCTATCACCTACATCGACTTCCCAAAGGGATTTTATGGTTGATGCCAGAGCTCGAGTGTACCCTATGTAGCCTTGACCTCGAGATCAATGACCATGGAGTCTGTGAAATTGCCAAGATCATTCAAGAGGAGATCACGACAAGCGTGCTTCGGAGCACTAAGGGGCCAATAGGTTTTACTTCCAGCAATCCATTAACGCCCGAGATTTTCTCATATCTATTGTCGGACAGATTCAAGTATCCTCGCATAAAAGAGCATGATGGGACAACCAACCCAATCAACCATCTCAATGTTTATACCGATGTCATGAATCTACAAGTGGCATCGGACTAGGTGATGTATAAGGCCTTTTCCCAAACTTTGACTAATGCTGACAGGGATTGGTTCTTGATAGTTTAATTCCATAACCTCATTCTCAGATTTGGCTGATAAGTTATCTGCCTTTTTCGCAAATAGTAAGCGCATCAAGAAAATGGCAGCTTTCCTCGTGCAGCTTCGCCAATGACAAAATGAAACCCTACGTGATTTTATGACGATGTTCAATAAAGAAAGACTCAAAATACCCGACCTACATATTATAGCAACTATCTTTACCTTCATTTATGCCATAAGGTATGAGGCATTCAAACATCTTTGTCAAAAACTCTACCATAGTCTGTGATCGAGCTCCTAACCCAAGGTGAATATATATATTAATATGGAGGAAACATTGAATCTGAGGAAAATTGGATTGACCTATGAAAGGGCCGAGCATAAAAGGCCACCCTCCACAAGAACTTCAAAATAAACGGAGGCAGGATGTACTACCAACGTCATTCACCAGGTTGAACACTTCCAAGACTAACATCTTGATGGAAAACAAAGATATGAAGAAATTGAAGTGGCCTTCAAGGATGAAGTCCCCTCTTGATGCTCGGGACAAGAGCAAGTATTGTGACTTTCATCAGGATCACAATCGTACCATGAAGAATTGCAAGGCTTCGCAGCAGGAGATTGAGGCCCTTATTAAAAGAGAATTCTTGAGTTCTTATGTTGATCATGATAAACGCCCGAGGAATGATTGTGACAGGGGAAAGCCCCTGGGGCCAGAGGTAATGATCAGCCTATAGCAGGAACCATTAATATTATCATGGGGGCATAACATCTAGAGGAGATTCGAACAATAAATGAAAGTAGTATGCTCGACAACATACCCAAGGTTCAAGAATAGCTCATGATAGCCTTGAGGACATTACGTTGCTTCTTGGTTGAACAAGAAGTTCAAGTAGAAAAACTCATGTTAGAAAGGCAAGATTCTCCAGAATTTCAGTGTCAATTTAAAGGTCAAAGAACAAGATCATCTGCAGTTTATTTCGTCCAATCACGTGCAATTATAGTTAAAATAGTTGCACTTTACTAAGTGATACCCCTGTTTGGTCTGTAGTAAAATCAGATTTTGATTAAAAAAAGATGGAATATATGATTTAGAAAAGATGTGGATCCAACAAAATATGTGATTAAAATTAATTGTTTACTTTAAACTGAAATTTTAATAAATTTTAGTTTACTTTGAACAAGAGCTTTAAAAAAAAGTACATTTTTGGGTACAAATATATGTTAATCGTACAATTGGAGAAAAAAGTACATACCCACAATAATTTACCATGAAGTCTGATCAATAATAAAAGTCATTTGTGTATGTATACAAGAATGGAAAAGATACAAGAAAGTTATTCATCATAAAGTCGACCAATAATAAAATTAGTCGAAACTCTGAAAATTGACCTTATTCATAGTAAAATAGACATTTTGTCAATTTTAACCAAGAAAGATGCTAACAAGGGCGTCATTTTGTACCTTGACCTCCAAAATGAGGTAACCTAAACTTGCGTTGGTTTATCATAACTTTTAAGTACTTATATATAATTAGTCTTACATAATGTCTCAATAATGAGTAATAAACTGTGAATAATACGAAATGCTATTTAAAAGAGGGTCAAACGAAACTTTGAATAATTGAACTACTTTTTAAGGCAAATTCTCAAAAACAAATACAAAAATTAACTGCATACCACATCTCTTGGAATATTACATACAGAATCTGCAACTACAATCATGCATTTCAGTAACACA